GGAGGACTGAGCCATCAGCACTCCAGCTAATACAGTCCTCCACAGCCACTGCACCCTTCCACTGTTGTGACTTTGTAGAGGCCTCTGGGGCACCAGCTGTCACCAGGTATCTGCAAGTTTGTACTGCTCCTCTTATGCAGTGAATCCTGTCTCATGGAGAAGGCCTTACTGCTGGGTACCTCCTCCTCCTTCAATGAAGTTTCTGTGCTCACTCTATCCATGGGCTTCAGTTCATGCCTCAGATTCTTCCTGGATCCAGCAGACCCACTTCCCTCCTCCTTGTCTTTCTTGTGTTGCTATATTCCAGCATCTGGATGGTGACTTTCAGAGAAGCTCTTTCTCTGCTACTTACCACTCCTCCATCTCAGTGTACCCCCTGTGTAATAGCTAAATCTTAAAAATAGTTCAGATGTCCATCAACCAGTGATTGGAAATCAATGGAGTACTACTCTGCCATAAAGAAGTTTGAGGCATTTCTAGCTAAATGAATGTACCTTGAGAGCATACTCTTTAAGTGAAATAGATTGGACACACATGTAAATACTGCATTGTTTCTCTGTTGTGGGAAACCAAAAGTGTAAATAAAAACCACAACATATGATAGATATTATGAAATAGGAAGAAAATGTTCAAATGGTAAGGGGTACTGGGTGGAAGGACAGGGAAAAGAAGGAAGGGAAAAGGAAAATATGAGAAAAGGAAAAAATGGAAAACTTTTGTAAGTAAGGAGAGGATCAAAGGGAATGTAGGGGAATGGGGAAAGAATCAAGTGTACAGATTTTTCTGTACCTGCGTACAGAAGAATCAAGTACAGGAACAAATTCCCTATGATAAATGTGTTCATTATATATACTTAAAATGTTCCAATAAACTTAATGAATTTAAAAATTTTTAAAAAGTAGTGTGATTAGTTGCTGATCAATTGAATTAGATCAGTGGTTCTCAATTAAGGCTGATTTTGATTTATAGAATGCATCTGACCATGTCTGGAGGCCTTTCTTGCTATCACACTAGGAATGCTGTGGGTATCTGGTGAGTAGAGGACCAGGTACTACTAAGCATTCCGTATGCACACACGGACACCAAAGATTCATCCAGCCCAAAATGTCAGTATTGTCACAGTTGAGCGATCTTACATCAAAAAATGTTCTAGTACTGTATAATTCTGAGATTCTCTGATTAGAGATCTCTCTTTCTGACTGTAGAGAATTCTTTGGAAATTATTTTTGTTTTAAATTTCTCTTCATAAAATGTTTCTATATATTAAGAAGGACACATTCTTAGAATAATTAAAGCGTTTTTACTTCATCTGGAAAGCACTGTTGGCACTATCGTTGAGGAAATGAGTTTTATTATCAGTAAGGAAACCTAGGAGCATATCATTATTTAAGTTCTGTTATTATTTACTGTATTTTCACAGAAAAAAAAACCTCATAAACACTCTGGAAGAATTTGGGAACCAAATCATACCAATTAGTTAAATGAAGAAGATACTTGCCATTTTTATGAAACTGGAATTTTTGCCAATAATTCTTTTTGAGTGCCAGTGGTACTATCATTGTTGTGAGAGCTCAGAATACATTTCTTGCCATCAGCCCTTACTCTGGCAAGTCAGGTTTGTTCTTTGTGTGTCGAGTTAAATTCCTTCCTAAGTCTAGAGTCAAATGGCTAGGTTTGGCTTATAAAAAAATGTTGTTGGTACATTTTAGATATAGATGATGATACCATCCATCATTCATGAATGGTATTTGTGGCTGTACATATGTCTTGCTTCCTCTTTTTTTCCATCCCCCCCCCCCCCCGCAACCCTTCTTTCCTTCCTTATAGATTTGGCTTTGGCCTGCTATTATCTTGTATTAGTGATCATTAGTCATGTTTTCCAGGGTTGCATTTTTATGTTCTCTCCCTGACAAAGTGGCTAACTGCTGACAATCTTGTTTGTTTTTAAGATTTAAGAAGTAGATAGCTGTGTTTCTATTATTCCTTCTGTAGGGATGAAGGGAAAGCTCCCCTTCACCTTTTGAAGGGTCATGGAAATGAACTAGCAGTAGTCAGATAAATAGGAGAAAAGGCACACTCATTTGTTTAACGTAGATGGGGGATCATGGGAGAGTGACTGCCCAATAACTCAGTGAGGTCCAGAGGTTTGGATGCCTGTCTTCATAGAGAGGAAGAACATTTTTGAGAGAGAGTAAGTAGTTATCAGGGAGGATGAGTCAAATGGGAAACGACAATAGATTGTGACACATCCTATCCAGATGTGACAACATTTCTCTTTCTTCTTGTAATAAGTAAGGAAAGCCCAGGAAGAGGGTGGGAAGGCAAATTGTTTTCCTTTTGCTAAATTGTCTTTAGGGAGACAAACAAACATCAGAGTCAAGCCTTTTCTAATACTTGCTAATCTCCAAGGTAATCAGCATACCAGAGTACTGCATTTTAGAATGATAGTCCCTGGAATCCTACATCCAAATTGGTGAATACTTTCTTGTGTTCAGTTACTGTTCTTAACTTTGGTCCTATTTTTGTTTGTTTGTTTTTATTGTTATTTTAAAAGAAAAGAACATAAGACTCATAGATGGTCAAATTAGGAGAAAATTAACCTCCTGTCCTTAGGTAAATAAAGTACTAATTAGTATTCCCACATTAGGGCTGAAGTCATGTCCATAGATCGTAACTGGCTAGAGTTTTCTATACAAGCTCATAAATAAGCAGACAGCATTCTTTATCTTTCCAGCCTGTCATGCATTATTAGGAGAGCTGGAATTAGTATTCATGGGTTGTTTGTGGCATGTTTTGCCTCCATGGAATGTTGGCCTTTGCTTGATTATGTAAGTTGCAAATTTTAGTAAAGTTTTGGATTCTCAAGTATTTTCAGCATATTTCCCAGAAATTCATAAAATTATAGTGGTTAAAAAGTACCTCTTAATCTCTCTTGACTCAGGATGAAAAATGAACTTAGAGAGCTTTGACATAAGAATTGTTTTTGTGAGGACTGTCTGCTCTTAAGTAATACAGTGCACTGTGTATGGAGGTTGTCCTTAGAATCCTTTCAGTCCTTCAGCCACGTCAGTCAGGGGACGTGAAAGCACAGTTTTAAATGATGACTGAATCTTCATCTTGGCTACATTGCCTCTAACTTGTCTTCCTTTATGCTTACTTCTTAAATAGAACATGAAGGAAAATTTTAATTTCTAAAGAATTTGTTTAAATGGGCAACACATTTCATTTGCTTAGAAAAGTTTGTACCCTGTGCCTTTTTATAGCATCCAGGGAGCTTGTGACATCCAGGGTTCTCAGTTTTTTTCTTCCTTTTCTCTCAAAAAAGAAAGTGCAGTAGACTGCTCAGTCCACTTCTAGTCCAAAGCGCTGCACTGAGCAGGATCCCTTCTGTGCTCTGCAGGTAGGCCCCTATCGATAGCCTTCCATCTTGGCCTCTGTGCCACTGGCACTTGTTAAAAATAAGACCAGCAGCAATGGTTTCTGGTGAGACTTCTTCAGACCGGGATCAGTGCCTCATGTGATAGCATATGCATATATTGTCATAATTAAAGATAACATCTTGGTATTTTTGTGACTATACAAATATACAACTCACCAAGTTATTTGATGATAGCTTTTATTTTGAAAATGTATTCTCCTGATCCTCCTAAGTTATTGGTTGAAAAATATCTTACTTTTGCAATTGTATGCAGCAGATGAAAATACTGACTGTGAATCATGCTGTTTCACCAGGTTTATCCCTGGCTAACCTTTTTTTTTCTTTTGGACTAGGGATTGAGCCCAAGGTGTCACTGAGTTACATCCTGGCCCTCCCACAACCCCCTTCTTTTGAGACAAGTTCTCACTAAGTCAGTAAAGTGCCTACGCCGCGCTCAGAGTTTGAGCTGAGAGTGCTGGGTTACAAATATGGCTTGACTAAACTCTTATTTTCTGTGTTTTAAGACTCTTTAAATCAAAACATTCTTGTTCATTTGTGGTCAGATGACTTTTAGTAAACAAATGCATCTCTTCCTTAGGACTGTCCCTTTGGGCTCTGCAAGGCATGGCAAGAGCCACACAACTCCCAAGTGCTTGCTTGCTGGGTGTGTACCTTGCTTAACATTTATAAAGTGTGTCCCATGTCCCAGGCACTTGGTTACAATTCTATATGATATGTTTTTCATCATTTCAGGGCTGATGAGCATTTTAACATCTCAAGGTGGTGTTAAATTGGGACCATGTGTTTTCAAAAAAGAAGCACCTGGCTTATTATGTTGTTCCACTGTGTCAGCCTTGGGGGGCCAAGATCCATCCTTATGCTTGTAAGGATCACCATGCTTGTGAGGCTGTTTCAGGTGTTTCGTGACTCTATAACTCTGCCTGCCTGCCTGCCTGCCGCCCTAATTCTTTAAGGCATGAGAACTCTTCTGTGAGCTTCTAGTCCCCGTTGAAGCACTTTGAAATGTCACCACTTTCTCCCTTCTGTCACTCATTGTACCAGATCCACCCTCACTGAAAAGCTATGTGAACTACTTATGTGAGTGGACAGTTCTGTTTTTGCTGACACTGACATAGACTCAGCATGTTACCAGTAAGTCCATCCCCACAAAGCTATTATTTTAAAAATTGAATCTAAAAAATTATTAGAATTGCTTTTCAATTTTTTCTGTGATAGGGATGGAACCCAGGGCCTCCAGCATGCTAGGCAAGTACTCTACCCCTGAGCTATAGCCCCAACCCAAAATTGCTACTTTGAATGCTTTAAAAATCAAATGATTATTTTGGGCTGTATAAAAAAAACTGACTTCTTTTCATTCAAGTGAAGAGGTGCTCCTACAAGCCATTTTGCTATTAATCAAAAAGGCTTCAGATTGCTTCTGATGGTGGCATGTGTTGTACCCTGGCACACAGGTTTTACCTGATGTCAGTGACACATGTAAAGATGCTACTGGTATGCAGCAGACTGTATTCTCCTAATCCTCCTAGTTACACTTTACTTTGTCTCCCCATCTCTTTTTAAGGAGTGGTGAATGTGTTGCTAACGACTCCACTGTGGGTGGTAAACACCAGACTGAAGCTGCAAGGGGCAAAATTTCGGAATGAAGACATTGTACCAACCAACTACAAAGGCATTATTGGCAAGTATCTCTAAGTGATGTTTCTCCCCAAAGTATTCTTCCTCTTTGTATCTGGAGTCTGTTGCCACAGTAAAGCTACTTAACCACCTCAAGTCCCAGCAATCATCAGGGAGTATTTGGTTAGCTCAGGTGTCAGTGAGTTGACAAGGCTTTACTCATTTGGGCCAATCCCACCAGAGAGGCTTAAGTGCATTTGTACCCTCTCATCCTCCTGGGATGAGCCTTGAACATATTCTGGTATGCCAAAAATGCTAGAGAACACAGCCCCAATGTGCAATCATTTCAAGCCTGATGACTTCCTAGTGACCAAAATGAAAGAATTTTGCCCTAGTATAAATTATTATACAGTTACGGCGGTGGTCTAACATGGTGGAAGACCAAAGCAGGAATGCCTACCACTTCCTGCTTCTTCTTCAGCTTTAATTGCAACTCTCTTTCCTGTTTACATACACAGAGAATTCCAATTAGTTCCTCACACGTCATCAATATCCGCCCCATGTGACACTTCAATCAGAGGTCATGTAACCATCTATCTCTCTGTATCTGGTCTAAGGAGACAGCCCAGCTGCCATGCATCATGTGCTCCTTTCCACATCCTCAACTCAATAAAACTGTTCATTTTATACTTTTGCTTCTCTAATGTCCTGAAATATTCTAATACAAAGCACATCCTATGGCCAAGCCCATGACAAGGATAGCAAAGTATATTCCCAAAGACTGTAGGTACGTGGGAGTAAAATACACACATACAGCCTCACACATAGTAAATAAGCACTCTACAGCTGAGCTACAAGCCCAAACCAATTTAAATATTTTTAAAGAATAATTATACTTTTTTTTCCAACCTCCTGCCTTTTAATGGTATCACATTGCCAGATTTTCCTTCTTTACACATCTGTCTTTGCAACGGGAACAGAATTTCTAAGTCAAATCCTGCAAAATAAAACAAAACAAAACAAAAACCAGTGTAATGGGTCCAGCAACTGATCTTTTGCTGCACTGAACCTTGTAAAAAGTGAGTTATCACTTGACGATTCTCTGTAATACAATGTTCGCAATAGTGGTAAAAATTTAACATTCTACAAAATTAGAAAGAGTTTGAGATGATTAAGATGATTAAGAGTTTGAGATGATTGAGATGATTAAGTAGCTTGGCAATAATCAATATCTGATTTATTCCCCCTGTAATACGGATGATTGAACCCAGGGCCTTCACACCAGGCTACATGCCCTGCCTTTAAAAAATATTTTTTATGTGGGGTGTGGTAGCACACTCCTGTAATCCCAATTGTGAGTTTAAGGCCAGTCTAGGCTACTTAGTGAGTTTAAGGGCAGCCTGGACTATAGAGCAAGATGGTCTCAAAAGGAAAAAAAATTTTTTTTTTTAGTCAGAATTTCACAAAGATCTGGGCTTGTCTTGAACCAATGATCCTCCTGCTTCAGCCTCCCAAACTGCCATGATTAAGTCATGTCCACCACACCTGGCTTTGATTATTGTTAAAAAGCAAGTAACTACAAACATTCCTCATTTAGTGACCTATTTAGTGACTGTTCAGACTTACGACCCACCACTCAGATTTAACGACCCATCTTTTTCTGTACAATTCTGTACATTCTGTTTATAGCGCTTCAGTGCCATTTATTGTGTACATCTTGTTTCTATAGTACTGTAATTTTTGCTGATTGTACTGTGGTTTTATGTTCTTGTACTGTTCTTTTTTTTTTTTTTTTTTTTTCCTTTTTTTTTTTTGGTACCGGGAATCAAACTCACGACCTTGCACTTGCTAGGCAGGCACTTATGCTGCTAAGCTAAACCCCCTGCCCTAAAGTCTTCCAGGAAAACTGGGTTTGTTTTTCTTCTTCGTCGTCTTTTTTTTGTCTTTTGGTGTTACCAGGGATGAAACTCAACCTTGCACTTGCCAGGCAGGCACTTATGCCACTGAGCTAAATCCCCAGCCACTTATGTTCTCTCATACATTACAGTGCTGCATGTAAGGGTTACACAAATAAAAGCAAAGTCATCAAGTTGGAGTTGCCTATGACCACTTCTTTGTTCTGAATATTGTAATGTACATATGATATACAGTTCCTCATTTATCAACCAATTCACTTAATCACCTGGTCACACAAACAGAATTCAGTCCTTAAAGGAGGAGCATCTTAATGCATTTGCCCCTAACATGGCTCTGCAAAAAGGAACTCTCCTGAGAAGCAATGTGGTTTGTGTTCTGGGTACCTCTGAACAGAAGGCACCTTGTTTTCTCTGGTTAGGGCTTTGTCGTTGTGCTTTTCAAAACCCTGATTTCTCGCTTAGATGCTTTTCACCAGATCATCCGAGATGAAGGTGTCTTGGCTTTGTGGAATGGCACATTTCCCTCCTTGCTGCTGGTCTTCAATCCTGCTATCCAATTCATGTTCTATGAAGGTTTAAAACGGCAGCTTTTAAAGAAACGGATGCAGGTAATCTCTGATTTTGAAAGCAGCCAAATGATGAACTCTGGTACTTCCTTGTTTGGGTTCATGTGATCTGTCCTTTGCTTTCAGCTTTCTTCTTTGGATGTGTTCATCATTGGTGCAGTAGCCAAAGCAGTTGCTACCACGGCTACCTACCCCATGCAGACAATACAGTCGATTCTGAGAGTGAGTACTGGGCTTTTCCCTGCATGGAGTCAAATGCCCTAGAATGCACAACCCCTTTATTTAAAGCAATCTCAGTGTCTTAATGTAGCAGTATTGCAGTAAGTTGCTAGGGCATGATATTTCCCATCTATTTTCCCTTTTGGTTCTTAATCCTTTAAGAATAAGGCTGGCTGTCCCTTGGCTTCTTATTTGGTGTGGAATGAAATCCACTTTGGTCAAAATCAGAGGTTATTCATTTAGTTTACTTGGGAGAAATTCATGATTTAGCTTTTCCAAAGGATCTTCCAACTTCAGTTTTTCATACATTTAACTATTCATTCAGATATTTATTAAGCCACCCACTCTTTGTAAGGAGTTGGGTACCCAGTATTGACTAAAGTGGTCATAGTCCCTGCCCTCATGGAGTTAGCAGAGAAAGAATAACAAGGAAACAAGATTAAGACAAAAACTAATAAAGAAGCAAATACTGTTCTATGGCTTGTTAAAATCGAGATACAAGGGAAAATAAAGACCCAGCCATCCAAAGAGGAGGAAAATACATTCTAGGCTAGGCATTGCGACTCCCAAGCCCTAGTGTATAATCTGACCTGAAAGGCAGCCACAGTGGCTACAGAGTGACTCGCTCAGGGTGAGATTGGAATAGGAGCAGGGAAGCTGGAGTGAAAAGTATAGGTAGAATTTTCTTTTCAGCACAGCAGGAAGCTTCTGAAGGGCTTTAAACTCGATAGTATTGTGATGAGACATAATAGTTGATGTGCTTATCTTTGGTAGATTGATCAGAAGTGAAGAAGAGTGAGACAGTCAGGTAGGAGCCCATTTCCGTAATCTAGAGCAAAGCGAGAGGCCCAGTCCAGAGTGGCAGCCATGGAGAGGAGAGATAGGATATGGACAGATGTAAGATCTGTTCTGGGGCTGAAGGTACAGCTCAGTGGTAGAGCACTTGCTTAGCATGTGTGCAGCCCTGAATTCTGTCCCCAGCACCACCAGGGAAAAAAAAAAAAAGAATAGGAAAGAAAAAGAAAAAAAGTCTATTCTGGAGAAGAAATTCAAAGAATTTATTGGTAGGTAAAGTGAGATGGCAGTGAAAGTATTTCAGTTTTAAAAAATGTATTTCTTTCTTTTAAAAGTACTTTTGCTGAAATTTTTTTTTTTTTTTTTGTCTTTTTTCCTTTATATCGGTACTGGGGATCGAACTCACGACCGCCTCGTTGCAAGGCAGGCACTTATGCCGCTGAGCTAAATTCCCAGCCCCACTGAAATATTTTTTAAAACTGGTACTTAAGAGAATAGGAATTCAGTAGCATTCACATAGATGTATTTTAATGTGGTTACAATACAACATATAAAGTAAAGAGTATATACCATAGAGCTTCCAAATCATCATCCTGAGCATGTTTTTGTCTCTGGAGATAGAATTTTCCCCATAATTCTCTGTTACAATCAAAATGCTTGGGACTGGGGACAGTAGCTCAGATGTGGAATATGTGCTTAGCAGGCACGGGCTCTGGATCCAACCCTCAGTACTGCTCCCACCTCCCCATTTTCTTGTGCTTCCTTTGTTGAAAAATATTTCTTAATTTGACTTATTTCATTGAAATATTTCACTTGTTTAATGGAAAAATAGAAGATTAATGAAATCTACAGGACCCATTGGATATTTTTATTACTGTATACTCTCAGACACTACTCCAATGTAATTTCCTCTCCAAGTGGAAATTAAGATAAAGAAAGCAGCAATAAGTAGTGACTTGTCTTTTTTTTCCTCCTCCTTCAGTTTGGGCGTCACAGACTAAACCCAGAAAACAGAACGCTGGGGAGCCTGCGGAATGTTCTCTATCTTCTTCATCAGCGAGTCAAGTGAGCTCTGTAGATGCTTCTCACTCTGTCCTGGCGTTCCAGCAGGGCCCTGTCTCGGTCGGTCGGGGTGCCTGTGTGTACTGCTGCACCACTGCTGTGGAAGAGGCAGCCTCAGAAACCTCCCCTTCCCTCTCCCGTGCTGTGTTCACACATTTCTCAGTTAAGGAGCTTAGTATTTGACCACGTTTGAGAAAATTATGGAAAAGTTCAGGTCTTTATTCCCTAATCATTACAATTTTTCCTGTTTCCTTTGAAGAAATTGACCCTTGGGATTGCTTCTGGGCTTTTTTGGCTAAGATCAAGTATAGAAACTGACACTTGAAGAAGTCAAATAAGTTAAGAGCCTCCTTTGAAGCAAAAGTGAATATGACTTTTGTTTTGTTTTTTGAAACAGGGTCTCACCGTGCAGTTCAGGCTGGCCTTGAACTCACTATGTAAACTGGACTGGCATTGAATTCACAGTGCTCTTCCTGCCTCAGCCTCAGGTGCTGGAATTACAGGTGTACACTACCACGCCCAGCATTATTTTATTTTATTTTATGTTATTTTTTTTGGCCAAGACCTTTAGATCCAATAGCATTATTATTTTATTAGATACAAAATGCTTTGAAAATACCAGGGGCTGGGGATTTAGCTCAGCGGCATAAGCGCCTGCCTTGCAAGCAGGCAGTCGTGAGTTCGATCCCTGGTACCAATAAAAACGAAAAAGACAAAAAAAAAAAAAAGAAAATACTTATTATAAAAATAGAATATGTGTTAGAAAATAAAGTCAAAGAGAAATACTGGGCATAGTGGTACACGTCTTTAATCCCAGCACTTGGGAGGCTGAGGCAGAAAGACGTCTGTGAGAGGCCAGCCTGAGCTACCAAGTAAGTTCAAGGCCAGGCTGAACTAGTAATGAGACTTTGTCTTAAAAACAAACAACCAAAAACCAATCGTTAAGGGAGTTTGTAAATGCAAAATTATGCCTTCCCTCTGGGGTGGTGCCTGGCAATCTCCATGGCTAAACAAACCGTAGCATTTCTAATGTGGGTGGAGCTCAATTTGAGAAGCACAGAAGTAGGGTTTTTTGGGGGTGGATGTGTGTGTGTGTGTAACATTATTTGTCAAGTCTTCTGGTGTTCATTACAATTTTCCCCTAATAATGTTTTCACCTAGCAAATACATAAGATATGGTGAGAGCTTCTGCATGGAGCACTTGAGTAATTTGAATCCCTCAAGCCACCTTGCTGATGAGCCAGCCTGTGAGACTAAGTCACTCTTAGCAAACAGCTTGGAGAGATGGTCTGGTTTGAATTCCAGGCCCTAGTGGAAGCGTCTTCCCCTGAGCCCCCTCCCCTAGCTGGCATCATCCAGGCCAGGGAGCTTGGCAGAGATGCCGATCTGTGAATCCCTACTAAACTTAATGAATCAGGAACTCTGGGAAATGCCCACTCTGCATTTTAACAAGCCCTTTGGTTCAGATGTTTACTAAATTTGGGGACCTCTAGGCTAGAGGATCAGATATATGGGAAGCCTGAGAGACAGCTTTTCATTTGTCTTTGGTTCTTCAGGGCTAAAATGTTCTAAACCAGTTAGTGGGATATTGTCATCATTCCACTAATTAATGATAACTATTAAGACAAAGTATTGATGGCTCATGAATACTAAACTTTATCAGTCCCCAGATACTTCCAATGCTAAGAAATGCTCTGACAACAGAAGTCTGTGTTGAGTATCTGAAACCTCCATTGCTTGTTTGGGTCCTAAAGAAAAAGCCTCTCACAGTGGCTATTAGAGTAGGCCATTTCTGTGATGCAAGAGTTGCCTTTTACAATGAAAACCAGTTTTTTCCAACCTCTTCCTTTCAGGCGTTTTGGGATAATGGGACTCTACAAAGGCCTGGAAGCCAAGCTGCTGCAGACAGTACTCACCGCGGCACTCATGTTCCTCGTTTATGAGAAATTGACGGCCGCTACCTTCACCATCATGGGGCTGAAGCGTGCTGCTCACAAGCACTGAGCCGCGTGGCCTGCGAAGAGCCGAGATCCTTGAGACCAGGCCTCACCTTCCAAGTGCAGACCCTGCCCCTTCCCCACACGCTATCCTCAGCGGTCGGACAGGCAGGGAGAGAGAAGTGGGGAGCTTCAAAACTTGCCTGAAAGCTGGTTGGATTTGGCAAAACTTTTCCATCAGAAGTTTATCTTAAAATTACAAGTTCATCTCTTTCCCCAAACTCTCTCCCAGGTTCTAGAACAAATTCAATAATGTGTAATTCTCCTCAGATATTTTCATATGTCTTAGTATTTTCCTCACTAAAAGTCATATTTTGCTGGTGCTGTGGGCATGACTTTATTTTTGTTGGACTTTTTTTTTTTTTTTCTGCTTAAGGAGTGTTAAATGAACTATTTATTTTGTGGAGGAAATGAATATTCATCCCAGGTGACTCTCTTGCAAACTCTTGGTAAACAATACTTACTCATTAGTGTTTGGTACAGTTTTTAAAAATATTTATTTTGAATCCACTCTATTAATAAAAAGGCTGAAGTTTTATGTCATCCATATAAAGCTGCAATCACTTTATCCCAATTTACTGTGCTCCAATAAATTGTCAGCACAAATGAGGGTTCTTGAAAGTTGTTCTTTCTTGAGGTGTGTAACCAGTTATATAACCAAATGGTGAAAATCACAAAAAGCTAGGGGGAGGACACACTTGTAATCTCAGCTTCTCAGGAATCTGAGGCAAGGAATGCAAGGCATAATGCAAATTTAAGGCCAGACAGGGAACTTGGTGTAGACCCTTTCTCACCAATAAAAAGAACAGCCAGGCATGATGGCACACGTGTAATCCTAGCACTTGGGAGGCTGAGGCAGAAAAATCACTGTGAGTTTGAGGCCAGCCTGGGTGACAGTAAGATCTTATCTCAATAATAATAAAGAGCTGAGAGTGGCCAACGCAGGAGATTTGCAAGTTTGAGGCTAGCTTGGGAAACTTAGCAAGAATCTGCCTCAAAAAAAATAAGAAACATTCTGAAAGTCTGAGGCTATAGCTCTAGCCTGTGTGAGGCCCTGGATTCATCCCCAGCTCCACCACAAAAAGGGACGATGGTAGGGTGAGTGTATAGAAAGCTTGTGAGCTTGTGTAAGCTCTTGAATATTCTCTGCCTTTATAGACTCTAGGTGGAGGCCATGTATCTTGAGCAGCATCGGCTTGAGGTTATTTCTATTTAGAAACATTCCTAGGACTTAGTAAAGCATGGTCCAGCAGGCAGGACCATTCATCCCAGCTGACAGCTCCCTGGGCTGGCGTCTCAACCTTCTGAATCACTCTGCAGTTTAACAAGATCCCTGGGTGATTCATGTTCACATTAAAGTTTAAGAGACCTCGGGGCCCCTGGCCTAACAGAAGATGGGGGTGGTTTTGATGGTAGAAGGCAGGAGAAAGATTTCTCTCTAAGGAAAGCTGGACTAATGTCTGAAGACAGCCTCTGGCAGGTCTCAGAGGCTGCTGTCATCATGCGCTTTCCTCAGGGCATGTAGCCTACAGTGACTACAGATGTCTGGGGCCACTAAAGATGTGAATTTTCTTGACATTAGTAGAATAATTCTTTGAATTCCTATGATTTGGTTTTTGTTCCTTTCACAAAACAATAGGTTTTTATTTATAAGTTTGTGATTCAGGCAGCCAGTGGGAATAATAAGGATGCTTTTATGGACTCCAGTATTTAGTTCAATTTTGAGCACGGCAATGTCTTTCTCTTGTTTTCTCCTCCTTATTCCCTGTGGTAATTTCAAAATATGTGGTGATTAAGCTAGTAGTAATTGAAAGATGATTTTGCTTTTCTAGAAAACAGGAATTGGGAGGAACTACACTGAACACTCATGCCCTCTGCAAGCCGGAGATGGAAAGGGAGACAGAATGGGCCCCATTATGATTTCTCTAAAGGTTTGCACGTGTCTGTGGCAGGTCTTAAGTGGGGTTTTAAGTCTCTGTACAGGAAAATGATTTTTAGTGGTGTCAGTGTACTTTTGTTACTGTTTTAATTATGCTGTACCCTTTAAAATTTGAATTTTGAGCTCAGGATATTGTGGGTTGGTACTTAGAATAGCTACCAGCTCAAATTATACAACTGTATTCAGTGTATATGATGTGTATTTGATGTTACTTTTTTTTTTATTTGATAAGCAAATAAGATTTTCTGTTCCTTGTGGAAATTTAAAGACTCAATTCATTGGAACAAGGTAGTAACTCACCTAGTTTTGTAACTTTTGGTTAGTAAGTTGAGAAAACTAAAAAGCTAGAACCTGTACAAGGGAAGTAGAAATATTTTTCTTTTGAGCTCTTTGTGTAGTTTCTTTAGAATATAAAGCTTAAGAAAACCTTCGGGAATCACACCCATAACATTGTGGGAGGAAATTTAATTACTGTAAGTATTTAATCTCTGTTGTAAAGTGGACATTCTGTTCAGAAGGGTAACATTTCAACCCTTGTCTAGTTTACAGTTAACTTTGAAATGTGGATATATAATTTATCATAAGAACCTAAGCATTGGGAGTTAGAAATCTTGGGTTTTATTCCCAGCTTTGCCATTGACTAACAAATTACATTTCCTGTGCTCTTTGAGATGTGGAAATAAAAACACTCATTGCCCACTTCAGAGGATGTGTAAGAGCTGATGTCAGCTAAATCTCTATGATCACAGGGTAGGAGAAATCTGAGAGAAACTGGTGACGGTGCCTGGATTAATATAGCAATTTCTAAAAATAAATAAATAAAATATATAGCAATTTCTTTATAATCCGAATACCTCTATGAAGTAGATAGAGACAAGTAACAGTATCCCCATATAAATAGCAAAGAAATGAAGACAAACTGTCAAGTGACCTGCCTGGTTGGAGCCAGCACCAGAGTTGAGTTTCCTGCAGATTGGTGTGAGGGTAACAGAATGGGTTCTGGATTTAGACCTCGGTTCACACTCTGGCCCTGCTCCTCACTGTCACGGAGGTTCCATAAATTGCGTAGCACACTGCTTGCCCCATGAGAAGAGCCAGGTAACATGAGTGATGACTTATGTTATTACTGATTAGAGATGCAGCTGTCAGAGTAGCTGTAACTGGACTCCACCCTGGGTTCTGAGCCAGACCTGGATTCTGGTTTTCATTCCATCACATGTGTTAAGGGCCTCAGACCAATCACTTACCCTTCTGAGCCCTTGTGTCTTGCACTGTCAAAAATAACTCCTCAAAGCTGTCCTGGGGTTAAATAAGGGGCGTGCACACATGCCTATGTGTGTGCACAGCATTTGACATATATATGTGCTTGATAAATGCTGTTTGAACCAAGAAAATCATTCCATTTTCCCTATTTTACTTTTGGGCGTTTGTTATAATTGTGAATATTTCTATTTTGGGAACCTTTTGTTTTGTTTTGTTTGTCTTTTTTGTTTTTATCGGTACCAGGGATCGAACTCATAACTGCCTGCTTACAAGGCAGGCGCTTATGCCGCTGAGCTAAATCCCCAGCCCCAAACCTTTTGTTTTTATCTAGAGAAGTCAAGTGGTTGCTTCCCCAGCACAAGTGCTGCAGCGAGAGATGAGCACGGCGCCCTGTTAAGACTGACGCATCATCAAGTGTTCAATGTTTTCCATTTTGTTTTTGTTTCTTGTCTTTTGGGCCAGAGAAGATGAGAGATGAGTCAAATCGAGTAATGCTGTTGTATTTAGTACTTAAACCGAGTCCTCTACTGCCCAGCCTTAACAGTTAATCAGTGAAACATGAACTGGTCCAATAGCAGAAAGTTACTGACTGAGCTAGTGATGCTTGGAAAACTTAACAGCAGTGACTTTGTGGAGCCAGATGCCAAGATCCAAGGAGAGCCTCCCCACTTACCAATGAGGCACTTCCCTGGCCAGGCAGGATGTCACCAGAACATGAAACACCCAGGAAGGCTTACCTGCAAGACTTTCATACAGTAATGTGGCTGATTGAGAACCAGTGATCTCTTTGCCACTATATAAATGAAGGGTTAGTGCTGAGTTTGGGGGCCATACTGGTAGCTCCTGAAAAATGTGTTCAGGGGGAATTAATGAGCCAGAAAATTTTCCAAGATGTTTGTGAGTGAGGAAATGAAAGAAAATTGCAATTAAAGACAGCCAGGCGTGGTGGTGCATACCTGTATTCCCAGCACCTCGGAGGCTGAGGCAGGAGGATCATCATGAGGCTGAGGCCAGCCTGGGCTACAGTAATGAGTTCAAGGCCAACATGAACTGCATAGTGAGACCCTGTCTCCAAAAAATAAATAAGTAAAATAGAGAGTGGAAGGAAATTAGGAGATACAAGAGTCAGGAAGAGAGATTAGGCAGCTTGCGTAGCACAATCTCAGTAGAGTGTTCTAGGGTCATGATTGGTCCATGCAAGGCCGTGAACTACAGAGCCCAGTCTCTAATGAAATTGAAAAGGAAGGACAGTTCAGTTGGGAACTATCGCAGTGCATGAGAATAGGGAATGGACCTTCTGTGCTTTGGACATCAGCCATGACTGATCTGCATACATCTTAGTATCCTTGTCCTAACTCCAAGAATAGACTTGTTTGTTTTTGTACCAGGGATTGAACTCATGCTAGGCAGGTTCTTGTGCCACTGAGCTATATTCCCTTGCCAGGATACGTGGTTTATTCCTGCCAAAAGATGGCACAGCTGAGGCTTCAAGAGCTTACGGTCACACCTCATGAACAGGGCTCAGGATTTGAGAGTAAGGCTGATTTTTTAACTTTGGCATTGCAACGCTAGTTCCTTCAGCTGTCCTTAAGAAAACCATCTTAGCTGGTACATTGTTCCCATCTCCATCCCAGGGGCACATGGTTGAAGACACATAGTTCACTGATGAACTATTACTGTTCTGATGCCACACAGCTCTTGGATGTGTGGCCTTCTTATGCAGCGCTGGCTGCCAAATCCATGTTCTTTCTCACTTCCGTATCATTGTTTATGTCTTCTGTTCTGGCAGGAATCTCTTCCTACTGCTACTAACGAATTCCACCTTGAGTCAGGGGTCAGCTTGGCTCCCGCCTGCTGTGAGGGCTGTGTGTATGTTCCCAGAGCATTTTGTGCGTGCGTCCATCATCAGACCTGCTGCGTTGCACCTTGACCTGCAGCAGCTCGTCACTGTTTGCCTGTGGCTTCCCTGATGGGCAGGAAATGGGCTTCACCAAGTAGCGGCCAGTTAGCCAACCGCTTGCACATAGGCATCTAGGAGTTGGGTATTTCTTGCTAGAGACAATGCAGACTTTCCCCCCCATCCACTTGAATTTACTTATTTGCTAGTTAAGGGGTGACATATTTTTAGAATTCGTGTACTTTGGACTTCCTTTGTAGATTATTCACTACCCAGATTTCCTTAGATTAGTTAGTGGAACTGTTTTGTTTGTTCGCTTGTTTGTTTGTTTTTCAGACAGGGTCTCACTATGCAGTTCAGGCTGGCCTTGAGCTCACTGTGTAGCCCAGGCTGGTCTCGAATTTGCAATGATCCTCCTGCCTCAACCTCCTGAGTGGTGGAATTACAGGCATACACCACCATGCCTGGTTTGTGGAATATTCTTGAAGTATACTTTACTTTGCTAGG